CTTTTTTTTTTTTTTTTCTTTTTTTTCTCTAAATTCTCATCACGTTTGAAAGTCATCGAATAATCGGAACAAAATTTTTAAGCCAACATTGAAACAATATAGAAGAATCGCGAGTGCAAGACAAAAAGTAACAAGAAAACATAACTACCATCGTTGCGATGTAACAGTGGTAGCGCATATAGTAATTTATGTGCCATCTCGTACGTGTACACCTCGCCCTCTCAAGTGCACAGATACAAAATACAAAGGAACTAGCAGAATTTTGTCTGTTTTTTAGTAGTGCTGAAAATACAGAGGTGACAACAATATGCTGATGGTGATAAATTAACTGATACTCGGAATTTGGTTAAAAAATTACAAAGTGCACGGCGACTAAACCACAAAATGCTACGATATTAAGGCTGAGAACATGTGAAAAGTAATTATTTACGTTTCTTATTGATCCATTAAATTGTTACGTAGTCTACATTAAACATCCGCAATAGTTTGTAATCGAATGCGTTACAATTGCTATGTCCGGGATGTAGCAGAATCATCGCCGATCGACATGTTCGTTCTACTATCTCCGATATATAGCATACCTTCTCGTAAAGGTATACATAATTTTAGTTTAAGTAGAGCATCACAAACGATTGGTGAAACGAACGATGAAACGATTTTCGTACGACAAAAATTCGATGTTTGTAAAACATTGCTTTATATATCGTGTCACGATGACGCTGCTCTGTCCCGGTCATGGGTAAAGAGGTAATTTCGCGTAATTAGTTGGCTGTATTGTTCGTTACGTCGAATAATTAGAATATTTGCGAAGCATGCTCGTAATTAAGGATTGTCCAGTCATCTCTAGAGAAATTTTATCATCGAAAATGATCATTGTAAAATAGAGAGTTATTTTAATTTCGAACACCGACTTAAAATACCGATATGCCTTCTACCTTCGTACGGTGATACTTTCAATTGTACAAATAATATATAAAATTTTATATATATCGAAACAATGACGCAGCTAATCCCATGCATCGAATCGATCATTTAGTTTGTCCTCAATGAATCATCGTATCGAGACGATGGCGAATTTTTACGGCTAGGTATTTTAACGAGCTTCTTCTCGAGACTCGACAAGTAGTAGGATGTAACACTTTGATCTTTACTTTTATTTAAATTTTCAATATGTATATACAGTCTTTAGGTAAGTTCATTTGTACCGGTAGGTACATATCAGTGTGCATCTCTCGTGTAACTGCATTGAAAAAAAAGTGTTCAAAAGCCACAAGCGTACGCGAGATCGCCTCTTTATACCTGAACGAAAGCTCTGCAAATTTTTAGTGTGAATGTTTTCGTTTTTAAGTGACTATTAATAATAATATTAATAATTAATAATAATAATAATTAAAAAAAAAGAAGATAAATATAATGAACGAAGAAAGGAATATGAAGAAACACAAATAATTATAACAATATAATAACTAGAGGATGGCGAATAATAAGTTGTGAATTTTTGTAGTATACATTTTTATTTCGGTCTGCCAGGCCAGTTTGTGTGTACAACCATGGTCAACGTTACTACGACAGAAAAAAAAAAAAAGAAATAATGTTAAAGGAAAATGAAAAAAAAACAAAACATCAAATGTATTGTAACTTTTTGCATTTAGTATAATATACCTACCTTACTACCAACTCCTGTTAGTATCTCTTTATTTATCGAAATATTTCACCATTTCTTTGAAGTTTTTCAATGGAACACTTGAACTGCATACTTAAGTGAAAACATTATGCGTGTATAAGTTTAAGAATGATTACCTATAGTAATAACGTTTAATAAATGTTATTATCTACAATTGTTTAGAACGGTATTTTAATTTATTTACATAAGTCTGGCGCGTTTATTTAAAGTAAAATATTCTTTATCTTGTTAATAGTGAAGTTTTATCAGTAAATATTCTTTTTACGTTTAACGTTTTGTCGATAAACTAACGCAAGAAGCAGAAATTAAAAGGGGCAGTATTTCCGCTTCTTTGTTTCCACATATGTATATATACATATATATACGCATACATATATATATATATACATATATAAACGGAGAAACTTGTTTAAATGTATACAGAAAAGGTAAACACGAGAAACAGCATTTTGTTATGGTCGGAGTAACTCGAGTAAATGCGTGCAAACGAAAGAAACCGATACCTTAGAATTCTGTATGAAACAATCGTAATTATAATTTATAATTTCTCCCTGTCTAATTTTATTTCCATCATGCTACGTTATCTCGTCGTTTCCCGTCGAATGTATATAAAGTATTTTATTTTGTGCAAACGTATAAATGTTCTTATATTTATAGTTCCGTTATGTGTCTTGCGGTGTATGTTCTGTTATCCCAATTAAAGAATTAAATTGATTTACTCTCATTCTTGAACGAACATGAAACGCAGTGGACGTTTATTTGTAATCAGTTGAAATATTTCCTCATAACAGTGACCTGGTTACTTCGAACATGAAACTGCGACAGTACGTAACGGGCATGCAAATACACACATATACACACGTGTACGAATTAGTGAAGAAAAAGTTATGTTTCACGATATCATTCGTAGCATAGATTATAACATGGTACAAAGTTTCAGCCAATCAAACACGTTGCCGTATACGCAATCAGATGGAATATATTTAACAAATTGATATCGTTCGGTAGATTAGAAAAATGGGCGTACGAAATTCGAATTTTATGTACATAATATTCAGCGAAGCGTTTTATAAAGGCTAATTCGAATTACGGCCAGTCTCGTATTATACCTTAGTTTTAAGCTAATTATTTTGCAATTATAACACAAGTCCAACGGGATTATAAGAACGAATCTACACGATGATAGATTGTAAGGAAAGTTTGTTAAATGCAAAACGCATAATTCAATGTGATGTTCTTATTGTAAGGTATTTTTATTCTTTCCAAAACTCGATACTAATAAGTCGATATCTCGAAATACCGGCTAAGTAGTTAACATAATCAACGAGAGATAAAAAGTGAGCATATTGGTTGATATTACAAGTATGATTACAATATCACTCACGGAAAGTAAATGTGTTAATGTTGGGAGAACACTTGTCTGTGCCATTTCGCTTATTCTCTTACCATTTTGGTAAATTGTCACAATTTCTAAATTGTCTGACATGGTTCAACGACTCTATCATTATTCTATAATTTGTACGATAGTCACGTTGAATCAAGCCCAATTTTTATATGGAATTACAATGTATCTACCTCGTAAATTTTTATCTTGTAATTTGCATAATGTGATTTGAAAATTTGAAAAAATTTTCCGTAATTCTTTTTTTTATTATTTTTTCTTTTTTTATTTTTTTTTGCAAATCATTCGTCCGAACCGTTTGAAGTCGAATTTAAGAATTAGTATGAAGTGTAAATATTTTTAATAATCGCTTTATTATATACAGTGTTGTAATTGTTTAATTTCGTTTACTATGATTTACTAAATGCTTGGTATTTTTGTATCTGTGTTTTCTTTATATCGAATAGTTTAATTCGAAGTTTAAAATAAATTTTCGTAAACTGAGTGGCAATTTATAAATATTTCATACTTTGTAATAATTATTGCAACGAAAGAAAGAAAGAAAGAAAAGGAAGATGAGTGTAGAAAGGGGGTTAAAATAAGATTACAAGATATTCCTGCCCATTAAAATAAAATCGAGCGTTTTGTATCTCGTATAATCTGAAAGAAAAAGAAAAAACACTCAAGTTGCATTTTGGATATTGTGTATTTTTGGTAAATAAAACTCTGTAAATAAACGATCGAACTTTGTTTATGAAGTATTCATAGCCATGAATATTCAATTAAATACATAGGTCTCTAATGTCATTTAAAACATGTCATTTCGTTAGAATCACTGTTACTCGAAATTACAAACTTTTTATACTTCCCTATTTCCTTGGCATATCTGAAATGCATGTACGATAATGTCACACGACTATTATGTATATTACTATAGTACAGTGCCACACGATAATTCGATATTATAGAATGGAAATTGCGATATCGAATATTTTAATATAGTACTATATATATTATATTATAAAATATATATATTATTGTATATATAATAATTGGATATTAATAATTCGATATTGTACAATAGAAATCGCGATATCGAATACTTTACATGTAACAGTATTATATAAATTATATCGAATAACAAATATTAATAATTAAATATTAATAATTCGGTATTGTAAAGTAGAAATTGCGATATTCAGTACTTTGATATGAAATTATTATATGTATTATTTAATATCAAATATTAATATTAATATTTTGGATATAATAAATTCGAAACATTAAATATCAATATTTCGAATATATAAAATTCCAAATATAATATTCCAAAAATATTAAAATCCAAATATAATATTTCGATTATACTAAATTCGAAATATAATATTTTGCCTATAATAAATTTGAAATAACAAATATTAATATTTCGATTATATTAAATTCGAAATATAATATTTCGACTATAATAAATTCAAAATATATTCCAAAAATATTAAATTCCAAATACAATATCTCGATTATATTAAATATTAACAATTCGATATTACACTTGGATGCAATTCTTCAATACAAAACTAGTATACATTACACAATACAATGCACGCTACGTCAAACCTCAATCATTCAATGCTAAATATAACAATATAATATACATCATAAACATCGTATCACGTTAAGATCGTCAACGAATAAACGCGATATCGTTGAACAAACACGTGTGAAAGTAGTCGCAAAACGACCTCTCCCGGTTGGTGCGAATCGCGCGAACGCCGTAGGTACGCGAGCCGCAATGGAGCACAGAACACGCAGAACTCGAATTCGTGCTGTCCACATCGAACGTTATTCGAAAAAGAAAGCTCGAGCCGCGTGTATATTCGTTCGGTTACGTATGGACCGAAGCATTGCGTAATTCGTCACGCAGGGACTCGCTTCCACTCGCTTCCAGAGCAACGAGAAGCAGTGCATATGGCAGAAAGATCAAACGGGGGTGTCGGAAGAAAGAAAAACGATGAGATCATCTCTGCTTGCTCGCGGTGAGCACGGAGAGTCTCCACTGGTCGTTCCTCTGCCCGCTGCGCGCAGTCAGTACCGGTCCAGCGACCGATTTGGAGGGCTCTTTTGAACGTTCCCGAAAACGGCCGGAGAAAGGACGGAAAGGTAACGCTGGCAACAAGGGAAAGGAACGATACGTCGAGGTACGTATCTGCACTGCGCGGACAGGTGTGCACTCCAGCGACCGCCTTACGGTTTATACGTCTATATGTACGCGAACCGTAGCGATTACACGCCCTTTCGAAAATAACTTCAAGTCGTACGCCATCGGTTGCAAATTCTCCACGATTTACTTCGATTCTCTCTCAACTACGGAATCAATGAAATTTTCTCTGGAAACCCTTTCGCACCTACGATGTGACAATTTCATTTTATTTATTCTTCTCGAGCTTATTAAAATTGTAAATATCGTTAGACATGTATCTGTATTTTTAATCGAAAATTCTTTTAAAGAAATTGCTATTGTAAATAACTTCAAATTGAACTTCCAGGCATGGAATTTTGCGCGATTTCATTTATGAGTGAAATTTTTATTTTATTTTATCTCGTTTAGGTTATTTTTATCGTAAATGTCGTTAGAGATGTTTTCGTATTCGTAATCGTAAATGATTTCGAAGTAATTGCGATAATTCCAAGTAAAGTCCCTGAAATGAAATTTGATTTTCGAAACGTGGTATATTATGGAATAAACGAAATAAAAATTTTTTTGGGCAATTTTTCTTCGTTATTATACTTTTTTTAATTCTTAATTATTTATCAAAAGCGTATGACAAATTCTTTCGTTAGAATTTTAGTGTAATTATACAGTATCCATTTATGTGAATGCATTTATGAGTGTTACAAATGTGTATTATAAATAAGTATTATAAATGAGTATTCTCTATAGTATTTAAAATATTCTTAATCGATCATTTTATTTTCTCAGTAAATAAACGTTGGGTAATTAACATCGATATCATAATTTTTCATGATAATTAATACACTATTTTGGAACATTATTTACAAGTATTATAAATGTACCATACTTTTCTATGATATTTAAAATATCCTTAATCAATCGTCATTTTATTTTCCCAATGAATGCTGGGTAATTAACATGGATACCATAATACTTCACGATAATTAATACACAATTTCGAAACATTATTTAGAAGCTATCACTCTAACAGGATTTTAATTCGTATGAATATATTCAAATTTATTAACATTGGTATATCACGTAGATTATTATAACGGATATATCCAAATGATTTCCAAATGAGACTCGAAACATGTGTGTAAAATATTTATCATACGTTATAAATTATTCAGCTAGTTTCCCGTGTACACTATCATAATTATGAATTAATCATTCGACTTTTCAAAATTCAAATAATTTTGTTAAATTTGTTCCCACTCGACTTTAACTACTTCGAATCGTTTCAAATTTGAATAAATTTACATTTTATATGAAATTCCACGGTATAGACAGCGAATAAATGACAGAATCGTAACACTTTCCGTTGACATATAAATATAATCTATAACAGAAATGTACAATTGGATGCAATTTGAAAGACATTAAATCTTGCTGTAGCATCGAAACGCTTTGCAAAAGATACTCAATCGTTGGAACTTCCTATTAACTGGCTATTAACTTCCTCACACGGAAGACGTCGTTAATTATCTAATTAAGATCGCGAACGCGGAAGTCGCTTTGTCGAGTGGAATTCGTCGCAATAATTAAACAAATAAAATCACTCGATCGTTTTTATAATAACGAGGAATTGTGCCTTATTTGAGAATTTACTCGGCAAACGTTTGAATAGTAGGCGTTCGTCGCACTGCTTTATCTTGTCGCGAAGTCCTCGGAAATTGTCCTTTTTAGACCGGAAATTCAACATCCGCTTCGTAAAAGTGGAAAAAAGTCTATTTGTGTCATCGTGACATTCGATGATGTTACATGCGTAATGATATTGATCCTTACACGCGCGACCATGTCCTAATGTCTGCCTAATTTCCATCATCTGTACTAATAATCTTCTCTAATTAAAAGGTACACACGGAAAACGACTTCTATTGATTCTTTCAACTATTTTGATAGTAATGGGTTGTAATAGTTGAAAGCAAGGCTCGCATTATTGAAGAATGATCATGGAGAAAGGATTGTTTCAAATTTTTTGGAGTTTTTAAGTAACAACGAGTTTTCGTAGTTAGAAGACTCTGGACTTGTAGAATGGACGTGGAAAATGGATCTTTGTTAAATCTTATCGAGTTTTTAAGTGAGAACTCATTTTAATAGTTAGGAGATTCAGAAGTTCGTGGAATGGGCGTAGAAAAATGAATTTTTCCAATTTTGGGGGGGGGGGTTAGGTAATAACGAGTTTTAATAGCTAGAAGATTCGTAATTTCCTGAAATGGACAAAGAAAAACGAATTTTTCAAATTTTTGGGGAGCTTTTAGATAATAAGTTTTAATAGTTAGAAAATTCATATCTTCGTCGAATCGATAAAGAAAAACGAATTTTTCTAATTTTTGGGAGTTTTTAAGAAATAACGAATTTTAATAGTTGGAGAAAAGAATTTTTTTATTTCCTAAGTAATAACGCGATCTAATAGAAGTTAGGTTAAAAACATCATGGAATAATCGAAGAAAAATGAATCATTCCAATTTTTTAGAGGTTTTTAGATAATAACGAGTTTTAATAGCTAGAAAATTCACATCATCGTTGAATGGTCAAAGAAAAACGAATCTCCCCACCTTTCTTGAGTTTTTAAGCAATAACGAGTTTTAATAACTAGAGAAAAGACTCACATCATCGTGGAATTAGTATTATAAAAGATACACTTTTTATAATATATATTTCCTGAATTACAGTACAAGAAAAATTCGCCCAGTTTCCAAAAACATGGTAGAGTATTCAATCCTAATTAAATATTATTTTAATCTTTCAATTAATCATGGTAGAATATTTTCTTCCACTTTTGAAAAATTATTAAAATTAACAATAGTCGTTTTTCGTGCGAATCATTAATTGTAACAGATAGAGAAATATAATCGTATCTTGAATGTCGCATAATCACGTCCGATTTAGGAACGCTATTTCCCAGGCAGAGACGCAAATATGTGCACTATGGAAATCCGAGATCTCGAATTTTTGCAGTATCGTGACATGCGACACTCAAATCAATTTCACGAGGATCAGCGAAAAAAATACAAAGTTGAAGTCGAGGCTTAGAATATGAAAACTGGTTATGATATAAGATGCTATATGTAGTTTTTGAAACGAGTAAGTTTGGAGCAAGCTGTACTTTGCACGCTGTCCTTCGACTTCCCTCTTGAAGAAAGGTGCCTTTTATCTCTGACGAGATAGACGCGTTCACGATAGAACACTAAGATTTATGTCATCATCGCGTGTTCACAGTGCGAGAAAAAATCCTGCTATGTCTTACGGTTTTTAGCGTTTTTTGAGATTAAATGCGATCGATTTATCGAAATATCTCTTCTCGAATAATTTGGAAAAAGATTGACCATGGCGAAAATATTTTTCTGCAAATTTGGTACATTTGTATGGAAAATGCATGACGAAACGAGATGTACATTAACGAGAAAGAAAATCGAAATCCAGATCTGGAGAGAGAAAGTATTGTTTGAGAGTGGGAAACTTTCCTTTGGAAGCCGAATTTAGTCAGGAAAATTATTTATCATATTAGGTTCAGGATTTAAATAAATTTTGTACTAAGGATAATAATTTCTATCCGATATTTTTGTTTATGAAATTATATAGTGCTAACTTTATCTCTAAAATCAAATTTAATTGACAATTATGCGATTTTTTTCTGGCAAGATGTATCTCTTTAAGTTATTCAAGAAATACTAAAAATCATGAGGAATACTATCATTTTGTGCATACTTATATATATTTAATTACACCAAAATTTATATAAAAATACCAATTTTATGAAAAATATTCGAAAGTTTGTAATTTCTTTCTTCTTCTCTAAAATTAAATTTATTTTACATTTATGAATTTTTTTCCTATCAAAGTATAATAATTCGTAACTACTCGAGAAATACTAAAAACAACAAGGAATCATGTCATATAATCTCCTGCACATTTACATAAATTTAATTACACACAATACATATTAAAATACCGATTTTACCAAAAATATTCGAAAGTTGGTAATTTCTTTCTTCTTTTCTAAAATCAAATTTATTTTACACTCATGGGATTTTTTTTCTATCAAATTATAATGCTTGGTAGTTCCTCGAAAAATATTAAAAACAACGAGAAATCATATTATATCATATCCTGCACACTTACATAAATTTAATTAAAGAAAATATATATAAAAATACCAATTTTACTAAAAATCTTCCAAAGTTGGTCATTTCTTCCGAGTATTTCTGTCAGCAATATTACAAGACAACTGGCCTCCCTCTCTAAAATCAAATTTGATCAACAATCATCTGATTTTTTCTTTTTTCATCAAGATTGGGATTATCAAACCGAGAATCGTTGAAAATCGCCGCGAAAGTCGCCATTTTGTCACGTATCGTGGATTTCTTCGCCGCGAGATTTGGTCACGAGAGAATAAAGTAACACTGTCGGTCTCGAGGCTTCGAATGGCGTCGATTACGCGATTTCGTGGGCGCTGATCAGAGAAGCGATAAAAACAGGGCCGTTCGTGATTCCTACACTCGCCTCCGCACCATAAGCCGACTTGCTGGTCCGCGTTGTTGTCGCCATGTACTTGCAACTCCCACTCTGCCTGAGGTCGCCGTAATGTCTCGAGAAATATTCTGGAATATCATCTCTTTTTTCTCCTTTTTCTCCATCATTTTTAAACGAACCGTAAGGTCGTATGCGCGCTCGGGATTGACAGTTTGAACCAAGGTTGTTTCGTTTAATGGGTCGATTCACTGGGTTACATTTATTAACACCGTGTGTTTTAGGAAGTTTAACTCATGACGTTTTAGCACTTACGCGATACGCTCTTGTGATCTAGGGTTAACGCGATTTCGTGGAAAGGCGAATCGCGATACATTCCTTCGAGGAATTGAAGTTTCTTGCGAGGTTCGGTTTATAATTGTTCATTTCGTAAGGTTGAAATAAGAATGACGATGTAGCAAAATGAAGATAGCTTTAGATTTAGATTCGGTATTCGTGATTAGATCGGTATTCAGTTGCGGTTGTTAGTGGTGGATGAAATATTAATAACGATAAGATCAATTCTTTATTTAATTACAATATGCTGAAAATAAGATACGTCTTAACGTATATACAACAATCAATCTCTTAGGAGAAATAGATATATCTTTAAACTATGCGTCGAAGATGTTCCGGGAACGCGTGAAGTGTTTATTTCACGCGTTAGATAAGAATTAGGGGACCAAGACGAGCTGCAATCGCATACCCTTTTTCTTCACTCTGGTTTAGACTCTCCACGCGAACAGTCACAATACATTTGATATACCTTCCTTAGAATAGAGGAATTTACGGAATAAAGATAGTTATTTCTTCTTGCCCATAATCCCAATACAAAAAATGATAAAACACAAATATTAAGTTTAAATCTAATTAATTTCCCACAATCACAAGCTCACATCTCTTTTCATTATTACGACTCAATTACAACTGACCTATGCCCAATCACTCTCGTGATGATTACACAATTCACATAACACCTTAATCATTACATGCATACTCGTTCATCACGATACCTGAATTCATTAGATATTGGTATCCCATGCCTACTTGTCTCACTCATCACTTATTTACATACATCGCTCCTTTATTATATCAATACATATATATGCAAAAAATCTATATAATCATTACCACAATGGTGTATTTAAGGTGTCCGTGGATTTTCCACTCTTCTTCGGGAAAGCAGAGAATATGGCATGTAGTAAATAAATAATGTAGTAACGATCGGATTAATAAATTAAAAGGGACTTTTGATTCTGATTATATTTTATATTTCTTGGTGGTATAAAATAAATGGAGGCTCGAAGTCTTCTATGATGCGTATGGTGCACTGTCAAAAAGTGTGTCCCGTGGAACCCTTTGGCAAGATTTTTATAGACTCTATGACAACCCACTGTGTTACTCGACCCTGTTTCGAGAATTGATAAACTGGATGGTTCCTCGAAGCAAAGATAGATCTCGATGCAGGGTGACGACATCTAAATAAAGATTCCTCTCACAATAAAGAAAAATATTGGGATTAAATTAAATTTAACTAATGTAAAATAACTACGATATAATTATGTTCTATATTGCAATCTTTTATTACTCAAGGAAGGTATATGTTTCTTTTAGTACTTCTTTTGAGAGACTGACTGACACCCTAGACAGTGTCCAGAGGGTACGTGACTCGGTTCGCCTAAACCCCCCAATTTTTATCGAATATTTATATAAACATTTGTTCTCGGAATTTATATCTTATAAACTATTTATTGATACCTTATATTCTAGATTGATTTTTGTCGACAACTAAACTTATCTTTTCTACAACAAGAGTATAAAGAAAATTGCAATTTTTGATGTGTAACGTTGAATTCCTACGTTAGATATTTCTCTAAGAAAATAAGAGAAGAGAATATATAACAGATAAATTAGAATAATTAATAGACACTTCTGTTTATAATATGTAAAGTTGAATTCCCGTGTTTGTTTAAAAAGAAGGAAATGAACTAAAGTAATTAAATAAAATTAATTTTGTAACACTAGAACTATACCGGTCTGTAATGTATACCTAAATATAATGCATGCAATTTGTATGAATTAATATGATATAATGAAAATTAAAGAGCATACACAATTGTGACCCAATTTGAACGAAAATCAGTATAATTTATGGCAAAAGTAGCTGTACATTTTCGGCCATGGCGAAAATAAAATATCCGAAACAAGGTATTGTAGTTCTAGTGTTAATTTCTTTGGAAAAGAAAAGAGTATACTACAATTTACAGAGGAATAATAAAGAGAGCTATAATTTTCAATTCGTAATTTTAGAAAAAAGAGGCGAATTTAATGCGAGTTTAGAACAGGGTACAGTGTTCTTGGTAGCACACGTGTTATTTACAAAACCAGGATTTAAGGCTTCATAGAGGAACAGAGGGTTCGAGAAAAAGCTGATGTATCACGAGTAACGATAGCACTAGTTAACGATTCCGTTTAACGATTCTGTTTGACGGAAATTTCATGCTACAGATGTAATCAAACCGAATGAACCTTACGCATAAACCAATCAAGCTATATTTAGCCTGTTAACGCACTAGGAAGCTGGGGAAATGTGTTTTAATTTGTAACTGGCATTTATATTAACTTATTATTATTGATATATTATAGAATCTTATTATTAATTATAGTATAGTATATTATTATATTATATTATAGTATCTTATTATTAATTTTTATTGTAACATTTTTCTGAATAATTTAACGCATCTTTGAAGAATGACATTCTAATCCAAATTGAGGATAGAAATTGACATAATCTTTTTACATGTAAATTTGACAGCAGGCATAAATTAAAAAATTGCTAGTTTCGTGTTTAAAAGTGGAATAATATTAAATATTTCGTTTATCAATCTTTTCCGATGATTCATCTCTCTTATCTCATGAGATATATATCTCAAGCCTGGTAAACATAATTCATATGAGTGCAACGATACAAAATATAATTTATAAATATTCACAAATATTATAGAACTACTTCTAAATTTAACAAAGAAAGTAATAATTTATTCCTACTCCAATCTGCTGAATTTCGTGCAATATTAAATATTTAATTTCACAAAATAATTTATTTTAAGCCAGTTTATAAAATGTTAATCATTAAACCACCTGTAAATGCAAATTTCCTAAAATACCAGGTTTAAATACAAACTAAATATTTTTAGACATGTCCTATACGTGATCGATACTCGCCACAGGTACTTAACTGAGAATTATTAATTAATAATTACGTGTCAAAATTGGTGGATCGATAGTTACGTGTCATCTGACTTTTTCATAAGTAAAAAATTCTCTCGGAACATTCCTAGAGTGATATGTTCCAATCCTCCCGGCTTCCGCCATTTTATCTTTAACGAATCCGATTCACCAACACAACCTCGTCGTAGCAATTTTCCTAAAATACTTCCCTCCGAAGTGAAACAACATTAATTCGCGGAATTAAAGCAGAGTATCTCTGCAGTCGTAAAAATTCAGAAACAACTGAACATCCTTCAAACTCAAGTGGGCGTTCATGCCTGGCTGATGAGTTCAACGCGACCTTCGTTTCTCGTCGTCAATTCAAAGCAATAGAGGCAAACGCATAAATAGGTTTTATCATCCGCGTTTGTCGTAAGACATACTTACAGACGTAAGAAATCAGGGTAGCGAATTGCGTGCTCGCAATACGCGTCAAGTGGTTACGAACATTTGTAAAGAATCGTGATTTCCACGTATCTGGGTTATCGCTTCGTTGCTCCTATTAAGGTCTCAGAGATTTATCGTTTGGTCACGTCGACCCGAGCGGGATCTGTTGCTCGTGCACGTCGGGTTATTGAGAATTCTCAAAATTAAACAGTCCAGATGATTCCAGCCGAACGATCTTCAATTGAAAACACCCGCTGAATCATCTCAGAGCCATAAGCTTTCCTCGGGGTGGAGGTTTATAAAACGACCACGCGAAACAGAGGCCCTCTATTTGCTTGTCTTCCCGTCCTCGTGCACGCTGGGAAAGAAAATGTGTGGAAGAAAACGCGTGCTATTTTAAGTTTATATATACATACTTTCAGTCCACACGCACATATTTAACGATCGATTGTCTGTCGCAGAGATCGCAATGCGGACGAAACTGCAGCTCCTTTTGTTTGCCTTGCTGGTGGTGTGCCTTTTAGTGGACGTCTCGGCTAAGCAGGTGAGTCGCTGAAAAATAAGTACATTGTAATATCGAAGGAACATCGAGTGCGTTAGACAAGAATGATCGAAGCATCGCGATGATTCACTCGATATGGATGCTTAAAATTAAAATTATAATAACGGATCTATATATACTCGTGCTCGTTGGGCCATTCAAGGTCTCGCATTTTTCTATTCGCTTCTCGCTCTCTGCAATTACACAGTGTGATGTCGTTATTAATAAGCGATAGATAGTAATTAGATGTAATCACGATGTGTACGAATTGGTCATACGAGCTGTTGTGATTATCGATTTTTAGCGGCGAAGAAACTCAAAGTATCATCGTCGTACGACCACGACGGAAGCCAGCGTTCAAGATGAGGTCATGAACATGCTTGAGGCTGATGAAATAGCCGAGGAGGCAGCGGAGGATGCTGAGGTCACCGTCGAAGATGGCAGAAACGAGGTTGGATCGAAGCGTCAGAGTTTGCTCCGTATGGATCCGTGCATGCATAAACACTGTGGCGCAGGACGAGTTTGCAAGGTTTGTCAGGGACAACAAAATGACTTGTTGCTATGAAAATGAATTTATTTAGACTCCTCTGCTTCCTGAGAAAACACCTCGCTCGGAAACATAGGAATTAGGGGTCATGCTTCTGTGAGGAAATTTCGAGAAATTGATCCTCTTTGAAATTTTCCTTTAGCACCTCAGAATTTCTATCCAGCCTTCTATTCGAGTTTTAGCATTGGATGAGATTTTCGAGATTTAGCGACATGTGGAAGATACGAGTGTTTCTCAGGATTTATGAGTAGGGTTTATATTTTTCGTGGATATTTTAGGTCTTTTTTTACTGAAAGAACTATGATCGTTTTAGACAATCGACGATGAAACTGCTGAATGTGTCTGCGTGGAGATATGCGACGAAGAGGTCGATCCTAGACGAAAAGTTTGCACGAATCACAATGAGACGTTTGGAAGCGATTGCGAGGTCTACCAGGCGCGTTGCTTCTGCGACACCGGTGACGACAGATGCAGAGGCCCTAATTATCAACACGTTCATATAGAGTACTATGGTGAATGCCGACAGATGCCTGTGAGTAGCCATCGTCATCGATGAATCGAGATATGACATTTGGAGAATAAATTATTCGCATCGTTTGTGGTACATTGGAAACTGAAAGTGTATTTCTTATGGCAGTAACGATCATCTATCGGTGAAATATCTTTCAGTTATCACCGACTGATATAACGGGATGCTATTCATAACCAGAAGTATATCTTATCTGTTGCGTATTCTTGTTTTACCGTGGAAAAGACGGTATATCTCTGCTTGAGTCTTTAAAACGTTGCACTGTTAAATTACTTAATCGCGTTATCAATTGGATTGGATGGGTTGCCCTAATTATATGATGCAGTACATGCTTATGACTCGACCTTTATTATAAAATAAAGATTATTAAAAACAAATGTGAAAATAAATTTTAAATAGTTAAGCTTTATTAAAGATAATAGAGCCATATTGAAATTTTATGCATAGTAGTTTATTTTAAATTTTTAATAATTATAAAGCTTTTCTAATTTATTAAAATTCTATGCATAGTGTTACAAACTTTGATAAGCTTTTTATTTTATAAATGTAAATGTAAATAAGTTTGTATTATATTATGATATTTAATTTTGTTTATACCTTTCAGTGCCTATAAGAGGCATGGGATTTGTTTTAGAACTTTCTGATTCAATGAAAAGAGAATTCTAATTACTAAAAATTTAATATATAAACGTTAGGAGTTACAGATAAATAGGGAATAATTTGAAGATAAGAGATAATTCCAATTTTATAATTTCGTTTCAAGGAATGCAGAGAGGAAGACATGGCTGACTTCCCAAGGCGAATGCGCGACTGGCTTTTTAACATCATGAGAGATCTCGCTGATCGTCAGGAACTGCCATCGCATTATCTGAAGATGCAACGAGAGGCGGAAACGAATCACACATTACGCTGGACTAATGCTGCCATTTGGAAGTGGTGCGACTTAGACGGTCACCCCCATGACAGGGCTGTTTCCAGGCACGAACTTTTCCCCATTAAAGCACCTTTGATGGCTCTTGAACACTGTATCGCACCGTTTCTCGACTTCTGCGATATGAACAACGACCATAAAATTACCCTTATCGAGTGGGGCAAATGTTTACAGCTTGACGAGGTAAAATTTCTTGATGTTTCTAAATTAGTAATATAATTTTAAATTACTAAAAGTAGGTCTTCCACTTTTACCCAGTAATTAGTTTTATATAAAGGAACGAGGTTTCATAGAAAATTTGTTATTTCAAAATTCAATGATTACAGTTTAATCACTGATAATCAAAAAGCTATTAATGGTACTGATTAAATAATGTCATTTTTACTTATAAATGTTATAATCATTGTAAAAAGATAATTTATTTTGTTTGCTTGGAGAATAGAGATATTGTAGCGTTGATACGTTACTAAATTATTAAAATAATTAAGAAAATAAATATTTTAAATAAATTTATTAACAAAGTATTGTATATTGAACGATAGAATGTTTAAAAGTACTTTTGATAACAAAATTTCTATTCATTTTAATGCACAATTAAATACGGTGTTATTAAATTATTTTTCAAAATCAAAGAAAATAGAACATTATAGTTATTTTTGTTTCAAATACCTCATAAATTTCTGAAACGTTACTCATCGCTATACGTTACCTTCAATCTTGTTACTTTATTCCTATCTGCTTTACTTTAAATATTTTTCAAATCTTTTTACAATATTTCATTAATAAATATTTCATATTGCTACAAATGTAAATTTTTTAATTGAAAAAAGGAAAGAAACAAGGAGGATCCAAGCATAGAAGAAAAAAATTTAAGTAAAATTTGAACGTTCCAATTAAAATAATAAACGTATTTCAAATGTAATTAAGCCTGTCGTTTAATATTTCAAATTGTTTAATATCTTGCATCGATACTGTTTGTTTTATCCATCTGTTAAAATATCTCGAGCGGTTATAGCGTAGTTGAAATGATATTGATTCCAATTGCAGGAAGATTTGGACGATAAGTGCGATGAGTTGGCTGAAGCGAAGAACTCGGACCAATAATAACTACGACAAATTCCAACGATAGCGGTAGTGGTTACGACGGGATAAATGAACGGAAGAGACAAAAAGGAGGGTAAACACACGATGCACAGTACCAATGAAAGGGCCAGGAATGAGAAAAATGGCGGGAAAAGTTGCAAGTAAACTACTGCACTCGACAATGCGCATGTCTGCGCAGAGACTCGTCGATATTGCAACCCATCCGTGATGGTCGTGCCAACCGCAGTTTTAGACAGTGTTCTCTAATAATGTAGAGATGTGTACGTTAGAGACTACTCGCGATAATTCTATAATAATTTTTTAAAAGCCTGGAAACCGTTTGTTGTCTTATGATGGTTAAAATAGAAACGCGATACACCTGCTCGTTTCCTCTCCCTGTAGTATAATCTTGATATTATCCTCGTAGCAACAACGTACGTATTTTCTATATATATATACATATATACATACATACATACCTTTTGTATAAATTTATTATGTGACTGCCTTTCTATCAATAAAGAGTGATACAGTTTCTTTCATCTACGCAATACTAATCTATTATATGTTATGCTTTACGGTGTCATCTGTTAAAAATCAACGGAAATACATGTTCCCTATTTTTTCAGGAATACTTTAATTTGTGTCGTTATTGGATTATTATGAAAATCGAAGTAATAATATTATTTTACTTTATGTGTCTGTGTAGAAATTCCTTTATGCTTTTGAATAATGGTTTTATCTCGTTCCGCCCATTCAATCACCGGATCAATTAAGATCGCAGTCTTATCGTTGATGTCGGCCAGCAGATAAGTGTACGTGCTGGACACGGGGTCGAACATCTGAGAATTTCAATTAAAATTAAAAAGAGATCTTAAAAATTCGTTTCAACGGATTTCTGAACATTGACATGAAAAACAGTGAAATTTGCGAAAAATTCTAATTTATAATAACTTCATGGACGACTGAAATTATTAAAATAAATATATATATATATATATATATATATATATATATATGTGTATGTGTGTTATATATATATTATACATGTATTAAAATTTTAATTTAAAATTAAATTATTGATGCAGTGTAATTTAATTTTGTTATACCTGTGGCAACGTGTGAGAAAAAACAATCTATTGAATGTATAATTCAAAGTTTATTAATTATTTATTTTTAAATTCCTCAGTGTCGCATAGTTAGTATTTCATATCCTTTAGTTCAGTGGTAACATTCTTGTGTCGTATATTATTGCACGTAATAAAAATTATTTATGTTGTATCATCTATAACGTAATTCGTTTTATTAAAAAATCCAGTTTTAGAAATAACGTCCGTGCGAAGTGCACATTGTATATTGTCAAAAATACGATATACCGATAGGACTGAAGATAAAAGAAAATTTTTATGCGAAAAAATAAATCCTTTTGCGCTTTCAATTTTTATTATTAGTATTTTACGTTTATTATTAGTAACACGATGATACTTCCTTTTCATTGTAAAAAATGTTTCCATATCGAAAAATTTGAATATTAAAAGATTTGTATATTTAAAAGTTCAAATAAAGATTTATTAATATATTAGACAATGAATGCGTAAAAAAATATGAAATTGAAAATACGTGATAATTACGTTTAAAATTATATGAGAGCTTAGGAAGTGTATAATAAGTTGGAAATAAACGGTAAGTGGCCGACGTGAATAATAACGCAGTGTACCTTAGACAGTATGGAAAATTACCCAATGTACACGATGCAACGTTCAAGTGATACGAGATAGAAACGTTACTCTTCTATCGGAGGTTTAGTAACGAACTACGACCAACAGATGGCGAAGAGGTATTTCATTGAGTCTCTGCAATTGGTGTGTTCTAGTCACGTGAGACGATCGCGGGACGCGCCGACAGCGCCAAGCGTATTTGGCGGGACCGCGCTTAGACGGCGTCGTCTGTGCTTCTGGCAAGTCTGTCGTGTAGTGAACCGCAAAGGCTCTTGTCGGATCATGGTGAGTATCCGCAAGTTTTCAGCGGATCCTTTAGCCATCCGTATCTTCTGACTGCATTACCGTCTTCTACGATGTTTACACTGTCATCTGGCAAAATTTCGTGTTTGTATCTTGAAAATTAATCGTGATTTTCGTTTCTGAACAGGCTGGCGGAAAGGCGGGCAAGGACTCCGGTAAAGCGAAGGCGAAGGCGGTCTCTCGTTCAGCGAGGGCCGGCTTGCAGGTGAGTTTATTGTCTGCTACTCAACCAATTCAAATGCGTAGAATGTAGTTTTATCAACATTATTTTTTGGCAATAGACGTCTACGTGATTATTTTAGTAGATTTTAAAGGTAAACAGGTTAAATCATCATGGTTGGCGCGAAAAACCGAAGCGTTTTTAGATACCTAATGAACAATTCATTTTTTTGAAGTTTTTGTGATCTGTGTATGAATAAAACATATGAAAGTGATTCATTTAACTTTAATTTATGTGTATTGTGTCAAATAAGTGACGAAGACTTTGAGGAAATCTATTATTTTTTGAATTAAAGTTATGGTGATTACGTCTAAGTTCGGAAGTTTTCAAACGAGACGGTTGAGTCTGTGTACGCCCCCCTCCTCTCATATCTTTCAATGCAGCTACTAATATGACTTTCATTGATATATTTTTTTCATAATTTCAAAAAAATAGTTCCGTAAATATCGCTGTATTGGTAATTGTTTACTTTTTATCCATATTATGACATTACTGTCAAGATGATTTGAATTGACAGTAAATATATCTTATTGTATTATTATTGTATCCAATCACATTTATCCATCATTAAAATTCAATTAACACTGACATTTGTATTATTTATGCTCAAATAACGTTTTTCTTATTTATTGAAATACTTAATAATATTTAAATGTCAACAATTATTTTAATGGATTGTAATAACTTTTGTTCTTATTACATAGAAGTATACATATGCAGTTAAATATATAAACAACTGTACAAATAATATTAGATAATCATTAAAAATTATATTTCGTGAAACAATATAATATATTTTATTAATCAAATTTATTTTAAATCATTTTTGAAGGACTATAATTTATACCGTGAGAAAACTTTGTATCGTAAATGTAAATAAGAAAAATACAGGGCGTTTACTAGTGAATGACGAAACCACGTACTAAACTGGAAAGCTCGGGAAAGCCGAATCATCGTATGCCGCTCGATATTCGTTGCGTTAAAAGAGGACTGAGTTGTATGCTGTTCTAGTAGTAGCTGTGGTTAGTTTTTCTGTTAGGAGACTCGAATACAATGTAGCTTTATGATAAATTATTATTGGGAACATTCTGGAAATGTAGAATATTACGAAAAATTGTATCATTTTTCGTCGTTTGATATTTGTTACATGAAAAGCTGCTGACGCCGAGTGACCTTATGTTATTTGAACAGACATGATATATGATGCGTCCTAACCCAAAAATATTTACCTTGCCACGAAAGCAAAATCACCTTCCCATATAATATTTTTTACCTATACTAGACATAGTACATTTATTTCTTTCTTTTCAGTTTCCGGTTGGTAGAATTCACAGGCATTTGAAAAACAGAACCACAAGTCATGGTCGAGTCGGTGCTACAGCGGCGGTATACAGTGCAGCTATCTTGGAATACCTCACTGCTGAGGTGAGTGAGAATATATGTGAAAGAAGAAAGCATTCACAAAACAAAGAGAGAAAGACAGAGAAAGAAAGGCAAATACGCACAATAGGAAGATCAGCCGTTATAACCAGGACTATATGCGTTGGCATCACTAGCGACTGATGGCGTCACTAACGCCAAGCATCATGGCCGATTTTTCCCGCCTTTTCGTCAACCGTAGGCAAATAAGGAACAACATATTCTTTTGCTTATCGTGTTATATAGAAGTTCACCTTTAAATTCACCTTTTTCATTTCTTTCTAAAATGAACACTTTTTCCATCTTTGTTAGGCAAACATATCATATAGTTATATTATAAAAAATATTTTTATAGAAGAACAACTCTTGTATTAGTAATCCTTTAGTTTATGATTGATATGCTTTTTGTGATTTAAAAATATTTCTGTACTTCAAAAATTACATTAAATCCTGATATGTAAATAGTTTTTTGTACATTGTTACATTTTTTCATATTATATTTTGTTTTCTCTATTTGAGGTGTTGTGTTTTGTAGTGTTATGTGCTAATAGTTTGATAAATAGTATAGAATATTAGATATGTTATGAAACAGTGACTTGTTTGTTTTAGGTTCTTGAATTAGCAGGAAACGCATCAAAAGATTTGAAGGTTAAACGTATTACACCAAGACATCTTCAGCTTGCTATTCGTGGTGATGAAGAATTAGATAGTCTTATTAAAGCAACTATCGCAGGAGGAGGTTTGTTTCTTTATATTTATGTTTATATTTATAAGTGATGTATGTAGAGAATCATATTATCTGATGGTATAATGTCATTAGTTTTCCTTTTAACACAATTGATTTCGATGTTCTAGTTCTACTACATAAAGTTTTAAAAAAATTTGTAATTAAAATTTAGAGGTTCTATTGAAATATGAAGATTTTGTATCTAATGTTTTTTAGAGACATTAGTATCATACTTAATAAAAGTAATATTCTATATCGCTAGCAGTAATAGAATTCTATATTATATTCGTGTAATGAAATTTCAATAATGACTATTTCATTTTATTTTCTAACAGGTGTTATTCCACATATCCACAAATCATTGATCGGAAAGAAAGGTTCGCAAAAGCCAGCATAATTTAGTGATTCATTTAAGAACATTTGAAGCTATGTAGACAAAACAGATGCAAAGCAGCAAAGTGATTGTTGACAAAGTGTACCTACGTTACTAAATTGATGGCGAGACTGGCGTGATACATACGTGTGTATATGTATATATATATATATACACATATATAGATATATATATAGATATATAGATATATAAATAAAACAAATACTGATATAATTTAATATAGGTAATGAGAGTTAAAGAAAAGACAAATTTTCACCACGTAATTGGCATTCAGAGTCAGAAAAATTAATAATATAGGTCTGAAAATTTTAGTGTGCGCTATACTGCAATTAATTGACAAGCGATGCGTTGTAGCATGGCTTGCTCAAAACTGCAGTCTTTGATACTGTATGCGGATACTAAATGTTTTTAAAGTTGGAGTATTTAAGGACTTGGATGCGTAGTACGGATCGTAGTTTCGGAAAAAGGGTTTCTCTTTTCGTCTTTTACTTGGTTGTTGGTGTTTAACTTTGTCTCTTTTTTAGACATTCGCATGCAACTAACGCTGTTTTCTTAGTATTTATTTTGGAAAACAGCATAACAATCATTTGGAAGTAAAATATAATACGTGCAAGTATTAATAGACATTTCATAAATTTCTTTTACTTTCTATTTCTGAAGTTTTTAATCTTACATTTAGTTGTTTAATATCTTACAATTATAGTTACGAGCAAAAGTAGTTACGTACTCATTCTTGTTATTAAATACTCTGAACTATCTTA